AATAAATAAATAAATAAAATAAATAAATAAATAAATAAATAAGGGTAATGAGTAGTTTTGAAAAGTGTAAATCATAGGAAAGAAAGGAGGAAAATACATGAAATGGGAGAAAAAGTAGAAAATGAGGATTGAATAAGTATAGTAAATGAAAATGTTGCAAATAAAAGAATATTCCTCAAACACTCTACAAGAAATACACGTCTGATTTACACTAATCGTTTCAAAAAGGTAAATCCCCAAATTCAAAGCTCACCATGCTCCACTCACAGAGAGCACATGTAGTAACCCAGCTTAACATAGAGACTAGATTATTGTTCATTATTGCTCCAAATTTTCACCAACAGTAACCAATTGAATGCCCTCTGCAGGCATGTGATACACATTAGTAAAGAAAAAAAATTGGTCGGTATATTAGTGATGTGCTTATCTTTTGATTTCTCTCTTTTTGACTTTCTCTTCTTTATATTCCTTTCTGATTATGCAATTTATATTTATTACAGACTATTATATTATTTTATTAGTATTTTTCATCATTTGCAATGGAGTCAAACACTCATTATATTTTGGCTTGAGAATATAATGGAATAAAGTAAAATGACTCACTAAATTGTCTGCGCTTTTAATTACTCCCTTCGTCCCAATTAAAGGTTCCAGTCCACTATTCACATGGTCAACTTGAATCATTCTTAATCTTTTACTTTTTATATCAAATTTTTATCAGACCTACATTTTTTTTATCAGGCTTTGTAGTGGTTTGAATGTAGTTTCTAAATATGTAAATTTCATTTACTAAAAAAATCAGAGTGTGAACAGGGATTAAGTTGCTTTATCGCAATTGGAACCTCCTAATGGAACGGAGGGAGTATGGAATAGTAGTCTGTCCATTCAATTTTCGACGCGAATTTCACTATAGGTCATCTGGAAACAATATATCTGTGTTTTAGTACAAGAGTTAGGCTGCGTACATCCGACCCCTTACCCCATCGTAAGTGGGAGCGACCATGATGGCGACTATTATTTTATTAGTAGATTAATTTGTTTGATTAAGCAATTAATTTTGCGTTGACATAATCCGTGGATGATGATGGGAAGGAAAGAAAACAAGTTTTTATTACGAGTACATGGGCCGCAGTTTAAACTCTAAAGCGACGCGTTTCAATCCGGAATCAAATTCCACGGCGACGTATCATTCATTCATTATTTAAAGGCCAAGCCAGTGTTTCCCCTGATCCATTCATTCCATATATTTCCTCAATCACGAAAAACAAATCCTTACTAAACTTAGATCAAACGACAACAGAAGAAGCCGATTCAATCTTCTGATAATTCGATTCAGAACGCCATTTCTGTAAGCAATCGAATATGGTTGTTTCGGTTTCTCGGACGGGAAGGAATTTGCAGCGCTACAACAAAGGTCACCGCCTCGTCGTAGGGTATGTATGCTTTATTCCTTCAATTTCATGCTTCATTCTGTCCGTCGCCACTCAAATACTAAAATTGATGTGTTTTTTGATCTGTTATATTAATAAAGTTTACTAAAATGCAAATTCTTCATCATTCACCGGATTCAGTTCATTCAATCATTATGAATTCGTATTCCTGACTTCATTTGCTGCAATGTAGATGCGTGCCTTACAGATTCACCAGAAATGGCGGTGAGGTGGAGGTCCTGATGATAAGTTCACTGAAGAAAGGCCGAGAAACAATGATGTTTCCAAAGGGAGGCTGGGAGCTGGATGAATCTATTGAAGAAGCAGCTTCCCGTGAATCTTTTGAAGAAGCCGGAGTTGTTGGCCTTCTTGAGAGTGAGTTGGGGAAATGGAGATTCATGAGCAAGAGCCGGGCAATCCATCACGAAGGCTACATGTTCCCTTTGCTGGTCACAGAACAACTTGATCTCTGGCCCGAGAAGAATATGCGAACAAGAGCCTGGGTAAGTACATGTTTCCTGGTCATAAGGATTAAAGGAATGCGGAAAGATATGAATGTTACGAAGAAATATCTTGTTACGCAAATTTTACTTTATTTATATATTTAGATGAATAAAACTTATTTATATGTTCTTTCCCTGCAGATGTGCGTTGACGACGCTAGAGAAGTTTGCAAACAGATTTGGATGAAAGAAGCATTGGATATGTTAGTTGACAGACTCAAATGTGATAGCCTTAGTAGGGAGGCATCACCAAGGAATAGTTCAGCTCTGTAAAGATCTCTATAGTAGATAGGCCTAAATAGAAGCAATGTTTACAAGTCTACTTCTTTTATTTCTGTTTCTACTTCTTTTCTTAATAAGTTAATTTCTTGTGGAATTAAAGTTTTGTACATATGACAGTTTTACATAGAATGTTTTTAACTAGACTGAAATTTTCTAACATGTATGATTTGGTATGGTCTGTTTTAGTCCGATTGGGTCTATTTTGAACGGGTCACTTCTATATAAATTGGTCTTGTGTGATATGACAGGAATAAATATTTTTTAATATAAAAGAGCGGTTTTTATAAAAATTTCGAGAAAGCATACAAGACAACTTTCAAACAGTTGTTAAAATCCTATCGTCAGACTTAGGAATAGACATAGAGTCAAACGCCTCATACAAAGCGATCTGGCTCATTATACACAAAACAAACCATTTTAAGCTTAAAACAATCAAAACCAAATATCTAGATATCTAAACCAAACCTACTCGAATAAAAACAAAAACAAGTACTACTAAAGTAAAAATAACATTCGAATAAAGCATTTTCACATAACTCTTCTTGACACGGAGGTGGTTTTGGAGGAGAACGAGTTGCTTCAATATGAGTGAAAACTAAATTCTTCTTATTTCGTAGGATCTTTTATGGGTTGATGTGTTTAGGATGTGAATAAAGCAATATGAAAGCAAAAGAAATAACAAGAAAGGAAAATGAGGTAAAATATACCAAGTTCTGTTATGGATTTAGAACAATTACAGCACACCCTTACCGAATTCGAATTTCAACCCTCAATTCTACACTGAGAGAAGTCTAAGCTATTAAATGCAACTTTGTCAACTCTTTACAATGAAATAAATGCAAGTATTTGTACTATAAGGTAATAGGTGTTAGGGGTGAACAAAAAAATCAAAAAACCAAAACTGACCGACCGACTAAACAAAAAACCGACAAAAACCAAAGCCGACAAAAACACTAAAACCGAAACCAACCGAAAAACACTAATTCTTCGGTGATTCGGATATGGTTTCTAATTTCTATTTTTGTGTTTGATGGATTATAGAGATCCAAACATATACTCCCTCCGTCCCATTTATATTGTCCCGTTTTACCATTTCGGGAAGTCCCACTTAAATTGTCTCATACCATATTTGGTAAAGTTTGTGTGGCTCAAAATCATTCTTACTTTATTCTTACTTTATCAATTAATATTAACCACACAAACTCACTTTTCTTAAAACTCGTGTCACCCTCTTCCGTCCCAATATAAAAGGGACGGAGGTAGTACAAAATAGAGAGATTGAGCTCAAGAATGGAGAAGAAGATGAAGTATGTATGATGTATTATGAATGAATGTTCTAGGGTTACAAGAAACTCCAAGAGGAGTATACATAGAGAAACAATGGTCCGGACCTCTAATATGGGCCCGAAAGGTCCAACTACATAAATGGTAATCTAGATATAAAGACTGTACAATAATGTAAATGCTATCTGGTAAGCGTGTGTGGGCCGCTGTCTAGACCCAATAGTCATGAGACCCGAGGGGCCCAAGTTTATATACTCTATCAGTGTTAAAAAACCAGCCAAACCAAAATCAACTGAAAAAATCGATTGAAATTTAGACAAATCAACCTAATCGACTCAAGTTTTCTGGTCTAATTCTCGATTCCACCCGTTTTAATAGTCGATAAAACCGATCGATTAAAAACCGAAAGTGACTGACTAAAAACTGAAATTGACCAAACCCAAACCCATTAAACAGAAATCGACAAAACTGAACCTTGAGTGGATGACCTCCAACTATAAAACCTCTCATATCTGGAGCATTAAACACGTTTCCCGTCAAATCCAAGTTTCTCGCCAATTGCTTGATGATGCTCTCCAACGTACATATATCAGCAGCGGAGAAATGCCAAGTGTCCGGATATTCCAGACTGGGGGGGGGGGGGGGGCAGTACGGGTTGGGGAGGACAAGCTCCCAGACATCTGTGTACACAGATTTTGGGCCCTTGTATTTATTGGGCCGCGTGGGGGTATCTGGGTTTGCCTGTGTCGGACCTAATACCCCAACACAAGTATCCATTTATGATGTTCCCCATGAAATGATCCCGTTCACTCCATCCTGACAGCTGCGTTGCTTTTTCCCGAGGTCTTGAGGTGATGGTTGCAGCTGATGGTTAGCAGCTTCCTCAGGTCTCTATCATGATTGCCTGACCTTTCGCCTCTGTGTGACACGCCTCTCTCCTTGCCTCGTGTTGATCTTCGACAGGCCGTTGAATCGGCGGTTCACCATACAAATATCCCCTCGCTCCTGGGCTCGTGCTCAGGGTTTTTGGACCCTCACTCTCTCTCTAGCCTGCTATCGCTTCTCTCTACATCCGAATCTCCTCGCCAATGGACTTTTCTCTCAACACTTAATTAGTCTCACACATTACTAGTCTCATATTCTTCCTATTTCCGCATTTCGCTCATTCTAGCCATGTGTGTATCCTCCAGCGAGACATGCACCTCACAAGGGTCTGATGGGTCAGAACGCCTCGCACAACATAGCGAACAGGAGGTTCGAGAGGATGGCGGTGATTCCGTACTTGTGAAAACGGTGAGATGGCCCGCTCTGGATCTGATAGTGATTCAATAATTGGATGGTCCGCTCTATTAACAACGAAGTTAATAACTTATTTCATCAATAATTTAATGAGTTTAATGCACATTATGGTAACACACATTAGGTTTTTTTGCGTGGGGGGGCCAACATTGGCCCAACCGTTTTAGAGTAGGCCTAACTCTCCTCCTCCTCCTCTATTCCTACTTTCCTTCAGCCCATTGTTATTTTTGCCTTTTACTTTGGGGTTAGGTCAACAATATTACCAATTAAAATGATTTAGACAAATATAAGACTTGTTTTAATAATTTAAAAAAAAGAGACCTTCCGTAGCAGAATTATAAAAATGGGACGCATATACCCTTAATGACTACAGCAACAATACACAACACCCTAGTAAGCTAATACTAAGTACTACTTCGTAGGTACTTCGTACTACGTATCACTGTATCAGTACTCTTATGTTCCTATCCACTTTCCCATTCCCAAGATGTTAGCAAGGATAAAAAAAATTGACTTTTATATCCTTGACGTTGACCAATAGTATAGTGACCAAAAAAGTCGGTGACCAAAAAATCGCTAATGACCAAAAATCCAAATTCCGTCAAGTGATAAACGTTCACCCGTCCAATGATCAACGTTTGTTCATCCAGTGACCAACGTCCGTCCGTACTGTTACAGTTACCCGACCCGTCCAGTTACAGTTACCCAATTCGTCTAGTTACAGTTACCCGATCCGTCCAGTTACAGTTACCCGATCCATCCAGTTATAGTTACTGACCCGCCATATTATAGTTCCCAAACTCGTCCAGTTACAATTACCAATCTATCCACTTACAATTACCAACCCGTCCAATTACTCATAAACCACCACTACTGGCCCACCAGTCCCACCAGTCCCATCCGACACCCCCCATCCCTCCTTCCCACCCCCAGCCCCTACCCAGCGCCCAGCAGTCCCCTGCCCTACTCCACCCCCAGCCACACACCCTATCCACTCATTCCCCTTCGCTGACAGCGCAACACCATCCCAAGCCGTAGACCCCCTTTCCAATCTCCCCAACCGTCGGACCTCACCATAAAACCTAGCCGCCAACATTTACCTCACCATCCACTACTGTCTCCCCCAGACTCGTGTCTAGCTTCCCCCCTCTACAGCCACCTCCACCCTACCCAATCCACTTTCCCAATCTTTGCACCACCACTGCCACGCTACTCCCCAGCCCCGTCGCTGCCCCCACTCCAGTCGCCACTACCGCTCCCCTTCCCCACCCTCCGCCCTAATCGCCTACCCCAGCCGCCACGCAACCACTAATAAACCCTAACCGCGCGTCGGATCTGAGTTGCATCACAAAATCAGAAAAAATAAGAAGAAAAGTCGAGGTAGACGGCGACGGTGGCGTACGATGGAGGAAGGAGGCGGCGTACGACAGGGGATGGAGACGGCGTACGCTGGGCGGCGTCCGGTGGGTGGTGATGCTGAAACACTGGACTGGACCGAAGTCTTCACGCGGAAAATTAGGAATAAGAGAACGGAGATGCAGGGCGTCGGCCAAATACTATTTTCTAGTTTTTGAAAGGTTATTTTGGGCTTTTAATTTGATTTAAGTCTCTTTTTTGTCAAAAGAGAGGCACGATCCCTTTTTTGTCCACCCGAAACTTGGAGGTGGTATATCTGCCATTCTTTCTTTTACTTTCATGGCGAGTTTTTTGCCCTCCCTGATTTTCTCTTGTAAATGCTTTTTCGAGACCTTAATAAAAGCGTTTAAAAAAATGACAAGAGTGACTAGGTTCGAGTGACTCATCATCTATCAATGACTTGTCACTCTGAAATACATTATAATGACTCTTGTCCAGTTACTCGTACACGGTGACTAGTCATATTTTTGATAAAAAACACAACTAGTTGTATTTTTGTCCGGTAAAACTCTATTATTAATATCTATGCCATTTTTCATATTTTAATCAAGCAGATTAATAATGAGAAATACATTTTATCCTTCATTTGAACGACATGTTATCTGTGTATCAGAATCAAAAGAGGAAATAACAATAAATTAAATACGTAAACATACGCTCGAAGCCTTAGACATTTCAAGATATTTTTGAATTTATGAAATCTTGGTGTATTTAAATAACACATGTTAAGGCATTTTATAAATCCCAAAATGTTTAGGTGTATTTTATTTAATACTTGGATTTATTTTATACGTATTTGTACATAATACCTGAAAGGCTTTAATATGTCTCCCAATCTAAATGGGACTTAAGTGACAAAGAATTGGGAGAGCATTTGGCCGGTACAAAGAATTTTTTAGAAAAACATTTACATGATTTTTTTGCACTAATATTTAAAGTATTTTTAAAATTTAGAGTGAGTGAGAGACTAGGCGTTGCCCCCTAGGCTTTGCTACGCCAGTAGTGACAAAGTACCCAAACATTAGTTATCAAAATTTTCTCAAAATTGAGTTAGGCAAACTTTCAAAGCGGCTTCGTGTACACAACTCATGTGTACAAATCAGCCATCAAAATATATTCAATGAGTATTTACAATAAATATGTAAGGTTGTGGCAGATTTGTCGAACAATTATAGGTACTGGCATAATATGTCACCGTCCCATGGCTCCAAAAATAGCATTATTGAGTGAACTCAAGTCTGGCTCCATTGATTGGAAGATTCAAGCACACATCATCCGTTTGTGGA